GTCTCTCTCTGTTTCTCTCTCTCTGTCTCTCTCTGTGTCTCTCTCTCTCTCTCTGTCTCTCTCTGTTTCTCTCTCTCTGTCTCTCTCTGTGTGTCTTTCTGTCTCTGTGTGTGTATGTGTAAAAAAGGCATTCTTACAATGTTTTTAATAATGCATAGAGATACTACATTTGATAAGTGAGCAATGTTGACTTTGTCATACTGATATTTATTTATCTGGCTTGCTTTGTAACCAGTGAGTAGGTGGACGGGCTTTCTGTAAAGATGGCAGACGAAGATGAGGTTGTGGAGGTAAGACTTAAATGTTTGATTTACTGCCTTGAGCTATGCAGATGAGTTTATTATTTCAAAGAAACAGCAAATAATGGGCAGGTCGGGAACTTGAGATGGCTGCCTCAGAAGTGAGTGTGTCTCCACATTCAGAGCTGGTGACCGGACAGTTATAGAAATTGATATATTCTAAATGTCCTCCAGCAGCTGTTGGGTACTCCCAGAGAAGGCCTAGGACATGAGGATGTAAGAGTGCACGATGACAGTAAATGCCCCTTTCTTTCCTCAACATCCTGCAGACTTAGTCTTTTAAAAAATAATAATAATAGAAAAATACAGCATAAATGATGCTAATAATGTTAATATTTATATGGACATTTAAAATGCCTGTAATTCTATCTAGCAACAACTTACTGGTCTTCATAAGACCTGTGTGAAAAGTTGTGGGTATATTTCTTTGCCAGGCTCCATTTTACCATGCCGGTTCTGTGTGTGGCTTCTGCAAGTCTTGGGTTGTAATTCTTCCAAAAATCATCTCCTCCTCCTCCTCCTCCTCTCCCCTCTTCTCTTTCTTCCATCTTCTTCCCATCTCATGTATGTCTGATAGCCTTACCCATTGTCTTATTATTGTCTGTCTCTTAGTAGACTAATATCTTTATCTTTCATATTATCATTACAGTTTTATATTGTTGCATTGTATCATTACAGTTTTATATTGTTGCATTGTCTCTTCAGATGTCTGTCTTTTTCCTCTTCTCTCTTGGGATCTTTGTAGCAGGTATTTTTTTAAAGGCTGCAATTGCTTCTAATCTTGGTTTTAAGCAAGATAACTTTTTCCAGAATCATAGCACATCGTCTTCCTAGTTTGCTTCCACTGATCTTTTGCCCTCATGGTTTAATTTTGTGCGAATCAGAATTAAAAGAGCAAAAGTAAGTTTTTATTTACAAAAAGACAAATCTGCATTTTGAAGGGCATGCAGTAGAGTCCTCTGAAAAAATAGCTTATGCTTTTAATTTTGGACATTGATTTGGATTGTTTAGCACAGGATACTTAAGTAAAAAGTAGATTCTGTTTTTGCTTGGTTTGATGAACACACTGCCAATTCTAAGTTGGTCAGTAGGCCACGTGAGACAGAAATGGTGCTTTCATGTTTCTTCCATGCTGGAATGAACATTCTTTCTCTCNTTTTACAAATTTTAACACACCTTTTTTCCTCCCCAGCATCTAAGTAATCCTGCTTGGGAAGGGATCAGTCCTGAGTTTGATGAGGCTTTAAAGGCAGCTGAGAGTTAGCCTCTGTTGTTTGGACACATTTTGCACATGAAGATCAATGGCTCCTTTTGCTAAGCCGCTCTTGAAGTTTCTCTCTCTCTCCTTTAGGACTTGCCCTATTCCCTCGGCAAAACAAATAATTTATCCTTTGATTTTTATATATATATCACCTTGATTGAAGAGAATTGGCACTAGGAAAAGGCAGCGTTCGAAGGGCCTATATTTAACCTACAGCACCGGAGTGCCACTTGCCTCAGAAGGAATGGCAGTTCAGCTAACTAGACAAAACCAGCCAATCACTCTGGGGTATTGGCTTACAGGGCAAATATTTTTGTACTAGGAAGCAGCTGTTCTAAGCCTTCATCTCCTTCCCTGCACCAGCAAAGGGGGACCTGAAACCTCTCACAGCAGGCTTATTCCAGTGCATTCATTCCAAGGCCTTCATTCATCCATTGCTTCTCTGCCATCTAAATAACCAGAGTCTCGATCTTTTCTAGGACTGAAGTTGGAGAAATACGTCAAGCACCCCAGAAGCAAAGCAAGAGAGCATCCCCGAAGATCAATGGTGGGACGAGAGAAATTAACTTCATTAAGTTAAGGTCATTTGAACAACATTTGTATGATTTAATGTTTGTGGTTGTTTAGTCTTGTATAAGACCCCAAAGTTATTAGTTTACCTCTAGAGTAACATTAAGTTGTCCCCCAGATATGTTTTACAAAGGCTTCTGGCTATATCTGAAAAACGAGGGGGGGAAAGACCAACTACATTTCTAAGTGAGGAAAGCTTTCCTGGAGGTGACCTAGCAAGCTGCTTTTTTTGTGTAACCCAATTAAAGTGGAAATTTCTCCAGTTTTTGCCCCTGCCATAACCAGCGCGCCTCATTGCAATGCTGTGTTGGCTCAATGCTTGGCACTCCTTATCCTAAGCATTAATTTCCAGCTGCTGGAAAACATATTTAGGATCTTCTAGTTGCAGTTCACAATCAAAACTCTGGTAACTGAATTTCCATTCACGAAATATTAATGGGACACCATTAATTTTGGTTGGTTAATTTTGGTTGGTGCAGGCTGAGAATTGTCAATTATTCCTCTCCTCTGTAGGTGTTTTTGCATAAATTCTCAGTGCAGCCTCGGGATTGTTATATATTCCATTTAACATACTCTGTTGAGCTAGGCTTTATGATATTATCTAATTTTTTATTACAAGTACATCACTCAAGAGAGTTGATAGATATGATAATCTTTGTTTATTCCTTGCCTGCATCGTAAGCAATTCTATTAAGCAGAATTGCTATATTTATGCTCATAAAGGAAAATAACAATGCCATTTCTTTTGGTGGTTTTTTTTTTTTTTTNACAAGCTCAACGTCTTAGCTGCTGAGCCACTGCATCACTCAACTGAGAAGACAATTAGCCAAATCAACAAATGTATAGCAGAAATGTCTTAGAACTAGGGTAAGCGGCATTTTTATGGGCAACCCCACTGGTTGCAGGAGATATGATGATGATGATGATGACAATTATATAACATAGAACATGGGATCACTGTCTTCCACTTTTCATCTATAATCTACATCCCAGTCCCAGAAGACTTTGAGATCCAGCAATTATTTCCCCCCCCACCATCTTTTGGAATGATTTATATTCAAAGAGCAAAGAAACTGAGAGCCACAAGTCAATGCATGGACTTACTAAATATTTTCCTTCATTTATTTATTTATCCAATTTATATGACCATATATCTCAAAGAATGATTCTGGGCAGCAAATAGAACTAAAATAGAATAAAAACAACAGCAAGCATTACAAAAATTAATATATAAGTAATCAAGAAACAACAAGCCAATCATTAACACAAACAGGTCCCTGCTTGGGCACAGAACCGGGTATTCAAGGCCGTATGAAAAGCTGGCAAGGTCAGGGCCATCCTGATCTCCAGAGGAAGAACGTTCTATAAGGTGGGTGCACCATCAGAAAAGGTATGTCTTCTAGGCCCCATCGACTGTTCTTGAGAATACTCATTTTGTCAAACTTTTCTGAATGCTATAAACCCTGTCTTCCACTTTGCATCTACAACCTATGTTCCAATTCTAAAAGACTTGAGACCCAACAAAGTTGGAACGGTTGGATGGAGAAAAGGCACCAAGACCTCACTCCTGATTATCTAAAACATGGGTGTCCAACCTTGGCAATTTTAAGACTGGTGGACTTCAACTCCCAGAATTCCCCAGCCAGCATGGGGGATTCTAGGAGTTGAAGTCCACAGGTCTTAACGTTGCCCAGTCTGGATACCCCTGATCTAAAGATCTATCTTCCCTGTCTTTGATGAAAGGCTATGGTATTCATCTCAAGTTCAGAAACCATAGATCTTCCGGGAGAGAAAAAACCCTTCCATTGGCCTATTGTCTTAACTTCATTGTAATTAACAACCCTTAATAGTGGTTTGTATTCTACAAGTTTGTGTGAATAATGGCTAAACCGTTTATAAGGGGCTGATGCTCTTGTTATGTTTTGATTGAGGTTAAAAAAACAAAGCAATGATTTGTATGAGCTACTTTGCTTTGCTTGGAGGGTTTACCGAACAGGTGGTCCTCCAAAGGGTCACTATGTATATTTAGTATCTGAAACTTGAGCACGCCTGATCTGATTGGATCCCCCCGACCACCTGATGGTTTAGGAGCTAATGCATCAGACTAACATTGCTTTTGCCCAGCTTTTCTCAGGAGGGAGGACAGTCAGAAAGGCTTTGCTCCTAAGGAAATTTATTTAAATATAACTGGTAAGCTTGCGCCTTTTGCTTTTTTTAAAAAAAAATAAAGACAAGTTGGGGTTTGTTTGCTACTGAATGATTATTTGTTTGTGGGGTTTTTTTGTTTGTTTGTTTGTTTGTAGACTTCATGGCCTGCGGGAATTTTTTTT